GAGTGTAGCCAACAGTGGGCTGAGCGACGGCTCGGACATGGATGGGCTGAACCTCTTGGACAGTCTGGTATTGGATGGGCTGGTATTGAATGGGTTGTGCCTCGACGTGTTGGTAAGCGACTTGTCTCACTTCGGGCACCTGAACGCGTTGGACAGCGAATTGCTGGACGGGTTGGACAGCGAACTGTTGGACGGGTTGGACGGCCACCTGTTGGACGGTCTGGATCTGCTGCTTGACAATGGGCTCAGCGACGTATTGTTGACGAACACCTGGATATTGATGGACACAATTAGTTTACGATCTTAATAATTCATTAGTGATGGCATACCCTCTCCGTGGGAGACAACTGTGTGCACGTTCTCGACCACTGGTTGAACCTCTTGCGTGAGTTGTCTGTAGGGTTGGATGACTTCGCGCACCTCTTGGATGACTGGCTTCACGACTTCGTGGATGACCTTCGATGGCTCGTCTTGAGACTGTGTCTGTTCGACAGATCCGGGCTCACCGGCGATGTGCTCCTGAGACAGACGCACAGTCGACGAGCGGGACTTGAAGTGAATGTTGATGGGCTGATCGCTGGGCTCCACAATCACGTCTTGGGCCTGAATTGGCTGATCATTGAAGGGAACGGCTCTGTATTCAAACAAATAGAGATCAGTATTAGTATTGTATATAAAACTGTAACAACTGTTGCCATCATTACATACCTGTACTCCACAGTTCTGCCGACCTGATGGATGGCAGCGCTGACGGGATGGATGTTCTGGTGTTGGCTGGTGTACACCTGGGGTCGGACAGCGACTGAGGCCACTGACAGCTGGGGCTGAGCGAGGGTCAGAGCGGGTCGGGCATAGGCCACGGTCTGGGGCTGTTCGACCTGAATGGTCTGATAGGTGGGCTGATGGACAGCAAATCTGTTCAAATTGCTGTATCCGTAAGGGATGTAACTGTACGGCGAAGGGGCAAAGTTTACCGATTGGTGACCCAAACCGCTATAACCGCTCAAACCGGTCAAACCGCTCAGCGATCGGAATCCTCCCAAACCATAACCATAGTTATTGTAGTTGAGAGATGAGACCAATGGTCGGTGGGTGTAATCGTTGAGACCGGGAAGGGTGGAGAAGACACCGTTAACTGACTTGAGCGGGAGGTGGGTTTGGTGGGCGTTTCGCACCACTTTATTGCCGCTCACTTCCAGTACTTCGACAGCACTGCAGCCGAGGGCCAGAAGCGATACCAACAGAACCTAACCATTCAATTGACAAATGCGTTAGAAATTTACTTTTATTAGCAATGAATTTTCAATATAAGCTTACTTTGAACATGGTTTCAGTTGTGTGGAGACAGTTAGCGGTGATACCAAATCGGTAATGCATTTTCCAGAGCCAACGCACATCCTATTTATAGTACTCTTGAAACTAATGTCTTAGTCCTTGAGAAGTGACCAGAATTTTATTATTAATCAAACAAAACAGATCTACTTATTTGCACGAATAAAATGCATGTTTTTTCCCATAAATGTGAAAAAAAATGTGAAAAATTAGCCAAAAATAAGATCAAAGGATAAGAAAGAGAGAAAAAGGAGAGTCGAGTGGAGGAGAAGGCGAAGAAGAGTTGAATTTGAATTGAATTCGTCGCTACACTTAGCGATGGCCTCCAAAAAAAAATAAGATGCACTGAAAGTGAAAGTACTGGTGATTTATATCATGTTTAAAACAGTTCCCAATAGTGTGACAGAATTAAAAAATCCATATAAAACTTAATTTCACTTTAAATTTGGTGCTTTAGTTTAACCTTCATTTAATATATCGATGCCCTGGGGCTACGTCTGGGAACGGTATCTCATTTTTTCGTAACATTTGATGAAATACTGTATAATTTTTTTCTCCTATCTATTTCTGTAATATTAATTATTAAATAATTTTTCAATTTATACCAAAAACACATCGTTAATACTTCTTATAAAATGTATGAATAAATCACAAATATTTTGACAAACATATTACATATTGGTTTATTCTGTGTTTGACCATAAACCAATGTTATATCATATAACTTATATGACATTTTAAAATAATTCAATTTAATCAATAATATAGTGTTTATGGGTATTATTTACAGTAGTTTCACTAAACTTGAATTATCTAGAATAGTAATATGTATTTAAAATGACCCTCGGTTATTGCAAAAAGCAGTTAATTTATTATAATTTAATTATATCTAGGATTTGAAAATACAGTAATTAATAACTATTAAAAGAATGTGATGTAAAAAATATTATTAACTTCACTGTTATTATAGAATATATAATTTGTATTTTAATATATTCTGATGAGAGAATCCCATTATCTATGTATTAAATCAAATTAAATTGAAACTAATATTATTTTTAAAGTCAATTTCAAATAACACACAAAAATTGTATAAAAATTTAGTTAATACCGTATTTCTCAATGTTTTTTAGAATCACCCAAAAAATACTTAAGACTGAAAATAATTAACGATCGCATAATTTATATGATTGTAATGGAGAGCGACTCCACGTTTGGCCAATAAATTTTAGTCTCTATGTCACAGTGGGTCATGTAGCTATAAATTAACAGGCTAGTTCGTTTAATTTTAATGATTCAACAACATTATTAACTTATGATTATTAAAATACTATATATTAAAATTCAGAGCAAATTTTTGTATTTATATTTACTAATTGTAAGAATAATTTGTTCAACCATATTACAATAATCAAAATGATTATCATTAGATTTCATAAAATAAAACAATATTTTCGATTCTTAAATTGCATTATTATGATTCATAATTGATGAATATAATGAAATGAACAGGTTTAGAATAAAGTATTATAAATGTAATATATAATTGTATTCATTTATTAATACAAAACAAATCCAATAACTTAACTTAATTGAAAACAGCACTGAATTTCTTGCCAGGATGTTTTTAAAAATAATCCTTGAAACAAAATATCTGATTACTATTTGAACAAAACAATTATTTAATTTTGAGTTAATAAATATTCTAATATAATTAAAGAGTAGAAACAAAAATTAATATACAAATTATTAATATAAATAATATTAAATCATAAATATTAAAGACACAATTAAATATACTGTAGTCTACAAAAAACTAAACTAAAAGTTGACTTATTTTAACATTATATGCAAAAGATATTTTAATTTAAAGATTGCTTCACATAAGTAAATAGTATTGTATTTACAACAATCGATGGCCAACACAATGAGATCTACGAGATTATCACCAATATTTATGCTTATATTTAGTATGTATTCATTAAATGAATGCTATGCTTTCAATCTAACTTTAACCCAATATACAGTACTATGTTCTCCACGAGGACTACAATCCCAATGGTTAGAGTCATTGGATCCAGTTGTGGCAAATTGTATTGTCAGAATCGGACCCACACTTACCACCGATTGTTTGCTTGTGTACTACAACACTGTGCCCGCAGAGGACTCCAACGAGGAGGTATGCTTAGAGCAAAGATTCTTCGGGAATTCCCCCCAATGAAATTATTTAATACAATGTTTGGAAATAACATCCAGTTAGTTTTGGAGGTTATAATGGAGTAAATTTATACCATTTTTATTTTTCCAAATACTCCCGATTTTGGCATATTTTCAAATTATTCCCGATTTTAGACTAATTTGAAAATATTCCCGATTTTGAGGTATTTTAGAATTTTAAAAACCCCAAAATTTTATGCAAATTAGACTAAAACGCTCTCTTTTCAAGAAAAACTAAAAATATTATAAAAATCCATAAAATTTTGAGATAAGATGTCTAACAAAATATGCACTCAATGCGTTTGACGATGTGTTGAACGTTTTTTCTCTCAATTGAAAAATATTATTGAAAATAGAAGATAGACTTAAAGAACAAAACTTCAATTTATATGTTATTCTACCTACTATAATTCATTTAAAAACGAGTTAAATCAACAATAATTATAGTGTTTAAACTGAATAAACGTTAATTCCCGAATTTGGTTGTTTTTATTCCCGAATAATCTCTGCTCAATGTATGCTACTGTAAATAATCACTGTTTATAATCACTTCACTGCTATCATTACCATCTCTTACATCGGATCCAGTGCTGTCCGTATTTCTCCCTCAAGTCGTGTGTACTTACGATCGCTGAAAATGAGTGCAAAGAAATGAGCGAAGAAGTGGTCAAAGAGTTTGTAACATCAATATTTGTAAGAACCCCTCCGTATAAGTGCATTAATTACGGAATCAGTTTTAACCGCACGTGTTATGATGATGTGAACGGCAGTTATTGGCATTTCTCTCCTCTTATTTTTGCTGTTTATTTGTTGGCCATATTGTCTGTATTGTCGATATTGTTTTAGAGACATATTATAATGTAGTAATTTTGCAAATATATTCATGTCTTTGTGTGTATTTAATATTATATATTGACATTTTTGTCACATTTTATCTTTTGTCACACAGATATCATTCAATACATGCTTTCAATACATGTTTAACATCTTTTGTAATTCTAAAATGAGTAACTATTTAATAGATGCTTTACTTAGAATATAATACATTTATTTTATTAAAATATTATTGTAATAAATTATTAACTAATAATTCAAATTCAAAAAATGTTTTGTTACATAATTAAGTTACATGTGATATACTATATATTGTTATTTACAGAACCATAACCACACAATTCTTTCAATTAAATATTATAGTGAATAAAACATACATGTATTTAATCATTATGTTATTTTAAACAATATTTGAAATTAAATATTAATAACTCATATAATAGCTTATATATGAATAAAACAATTTATGAATTCCTTTGTAACGGATATAGAAATACCATCAAAGTCTTTGATTCAAAGAGTCAGAACGGAAATTGATGTTAATATATAAATATACGAATAAACCAATTATCACTATTAGTCTTACATTAGGTATACGTTTTGTGACTCGAATGAACAAATTTGTTGGTCATTAAACTGAAGACTGATTTAGTTAATATACAAAACAACATTACAAATTGGTTGTATCGGTCAACTCAATGGGATTTATTGAATGTTTATCACTCTCTGTCTTTATATTATGCATGTATTCATTCAATGAATGCAACGCTCAGTTCAGAGAGTTTTTTAAAGACATACACCGGAAAGAATGTATGGCAAGAATCAAACCCGAGCTCACCGTTTACTGCGAGAGAGGCTTCAATAGGGAAATGGACGGCAACGGCAAAGAGGATACCAATCAGAAGGTATGGCATGTCTTAAGTGTTTCACACAATTTGTCATATATGCCAATACCTGTAGATGTGTTTCGCGTATCACACACTCCGCTCGTGTGTACTCAACATTATAGACAACGATCCGACCAAACAATGCAAAGAAGAGGGCAGAGAAGTGGCCAAACAATATCTCCAAAACTTTGCAAACAGAATCTCATGGGAAGACTGTATTTCCCACCTAGGTGATTTCTGTATACACTGGAAAACACTGGCAGATGTAGTGATTGCCATAACCCTAGTGTTTGTCTTTCTTATTATAATGTCTTTTATTTGTTGGCGATATTATCTTCGAGGCAAATATCCTGGACTTGGCATAAAACAAGTCTTTTATTAATAATTTATTCACTTATAATTAAAAATTAATTAATAAATAATAATTTACTAACTTTTTTATGACATTTAATAGTATTTTTATAAATACTAAAATCCATCTCTTGAAGAGGTTATGAATTATTAAATAAAACTTATAAGCATTTTCTTATTTAAATAATTGTCAAAGTTAGTAGTGTTTAGGATAAATATTTAATTAAAATATAAATGAAAAACATAAACCTATGTAATATTTAATTTACTGTACTTTCTATTTAGTTTCATTAATAATAAGTTATTTAAACAATAAAAAAAATGCATAATAAATTGTGGAATATTTTGAACAATTAATTTTTGTGGCAGTCCTCGAGTCAAGAGGTGCTGAGCCTTTCCTCCGCAAACATATTTGGCGACTATTCTTTCCGTTGTCTTAAGTTTGAGACAAACCACTCACTGATGTCCGCAAACATATCAAATGGTTTCAAATGAATTGTATGGATCAATAGTATTGAAATTTCATATTGAATTTTAGGTAAACATCTCGTTTTAAATACTGTATATTTATTGAGAATGACTCTAATTGTGGACACATATGTTTTAAATCTCATGGATTGTATTTTAAATATCCAATGTATGTAATTCTATTTAAAAAAATAGTTGTATTTAAAAGTAAGTGTTTAACAAAAAAAACAGACTTCCCCAGACCCTTCGAGGTCTCGAACTCAGGCCCTACGACCCAAATCCGATCCCTCTAACGTTTGGATCCGCCGTCATTCTGATGTTATTTTATGCATTATAGTCTCAAGTCATTCATACATTTATTTAAACAGATGTAGGTATAGTGCATAATCACAATCATCATTTTATATTTACACTGGCTTAATTAATTAATATAATAGTATTAGGCTTAAAACCAATATAGCTTATACATTACTTATAAGCTCTATTACTAGTGATTATTGTATAATTATTACAATACTAAAAATTATGTTTTATGAATGCAAGTACTAATTCAAATTGAAATATCGAAACTATGCGAGTAATGTGATAAATGAGCTAGTTTAACAAAAACACATGAATTTAGACTTATATGAGAAACATCTCATCAATTTACTACTCTATACATTAACTTTATAGATTTATTTATTATTGACATTCATTGAATGCTATTAACATGAAATATTATATAATCAATTAGTTGTTATGATCACTTGTCCATGATCATTACGACTAAATGAGTAGAGGTAGTGTTTTAATGAGAGCTCACTTTACATTCTATTACATCTTTTCTATCTTACGAGTTAGCAAATGATATGAGCAGTGAATTTGTATTTCACACAATCAATGGCTAACACAATGAGATGCATGAGATTTTTACCACTCTTTTTCTTCATATTAAGCATGTATTCGTCGAATGAATGCAACGCTGTATTGAACGAAGGGAGCACTATATGGGGAGTCGGCAAATGTTTGGCCAAAATCACACCCAAACTCACCACCGCTTGTGTTAAGAGCACTGACCACCAGAATGCCGGACCCACAGAGTACACAACTCAGGAGGTATGTAACCCTACTATCACTGCTATCATTACCATCTCTCACACCACCGACAGGACGGGTGCCGACAGTATGACTCCCTCTACTCATGTGTACTGAATATCGCAGAGAAGGAATGCAACGAAATGGGAAAAGAAGTGACCAAACAATTTATAGATGGTCTCAAATTGAGCATAAATCTCGACCAATGTATTGGTGACCATGATATTCATGGCATTATAAATATGGCGACAAATAATGTGATAATAGTGATGGCCATCCTCTCAACCCTCCTTCTCTTACTTTTTTATTATATTTCTTACAATTGTTGTCGTCCAGAAAAAGCCCGCCCGCGAGTTATTCGCCGTATTTAGTTCTACAGTATTAGACTTTAGTTAAACTCCTATTATAATCACACAATTGTCATATACTGTAGTCGATTAACACTGTATTTCTATTTAGACCTTTCGCTCTCTTGCGATCAATTTATTTACAAATTAAATATATAATAATTACACAGAATTTGAATTATAATCTAATCGTATGCTTATTGTTAATGCAAATTATAATTATTAACTGTTTTGGTAAATCAATTGTTTTGATAATTTAAAAAACATAATGAAAAGTTAATTAATAAAACAAAATTTAACATAATATAAGCGCAAATAAAATATTTAGTATAAAATATTAGTCATTTTATGAATAAGCAAATTCAATTATACAATATGAAATATAATGCAGAATGCTGAAATAACAATGAGAAATATTTCGTCAATACATTAACCAACATGAATTCTATAGATTATTAATAATTAACAATAATTATTGATGATTTGTCCATGATTATTATGACTAAATGAGTAAAGTGAATGTTTAAATGAGGTACTCACTTTACTTTCTATAACAAAATATTTAGCAAATACTTAGCAAAATATGATAAGTGAAATTGTGCTCGCACAATCTATTATCAACACAATGGCATCCATGAGATTACCACTCTTTGTAATATTAAGTATGTTTTCAATGAATGAATGCCACAATGAATCAGATAATATGGATGTAATGAGAGAGAAATGTGTGGCCACAATCCGCAAACAAAGTTTCACGCATTGCTTTCAAGACTTTTACACCGAAGTCAATAAACTCAAAGAGGAAAGAAATATGAAGGTATGGCATAACAATATGATTGCTATTATTATCATGTGTGACACGCCGATAGGCCTTATGCTGTGCCGGTCTCTTCATGGAGTCGTGTGGGCTGAAGATCATTGAGAGGAAATGCGGTGAAACCATCAAAAACAATGCCAAACAATTCATCGACAAATCCAGAGTGCCTTCGACAGAATGTATTGATTACGGAACCATCACTTGTATGTAATGTTCATCAAAAATTTTATATTCCATTAATTCCCATGTTCCCGGGACGGAAAATAAAGGGAAACTACGGAAAATAAAAAGTAAAACAGGGAAATAACTAACAGGAGGGCAAATATTTTTAAAAATTTTGATTATTTTAGTGTTAATTATGGTTTAATTGTTTAAAAAGTATAAAAAATTACAAAAATGATCATATTAAACACAGTAGTCAATTACTTTTATAAAGTTTTCAATTGATAACAAAAAATTTCTTGGCCCTCATATAGCTTTACGTCGTCATTTGAGCGCAATTTTTAAGTATTGATTCAAAAATATTTACAAAATGATTTAAATTAAATTGATTGTTTAGATTTAACTAAATCTATTACTCTAGTATGTTTAAGCATGTTAGGGTACATGTAATTCTCTTTGAGGCCCAAGTCTTTGAGTGCATTCGCCACTCGACGGCAATCGGCGTCCAATTCATAAAAACAATGAGTTGTTTCGGTTTCGCATTCAATCTGTTATATTGTTTATTAAATTAACATTAATTCAAATACAACACAAATAATTTGTACTGTATATAATTTTTGTATAAATTGTTACTTTTTATTAAAAAGTATTTGTTTATTAAAAATATTAGTAAATATTGATAAATATTAGTAAAAAGTGAGCGAAAGTATATTTACCAAAGTTTGGTCGCTGTGTTTGTCTAACTTTTCCAACAAATATTTTTGTAGCGAAACGTTTGGGACATAAATATTAGGCGATTGTGTGGACAGTATTATCGGCTCTGACGGCATGTTATGCTTTCCGTACAAATACTTGTCCGCCTGAAACATCAATGTTATTATTTCGGGGTAATTATTATTATAGTAATTAGTTATTTTTTAGTTTGTTTTAAATTAACAATTGATTTTATTATATGAGCACTCATTTTGTGTTAGTATTTCTTTGATGATAACTTTTTTGTCAATAAAACAGCACTTATTTATTCTTTAATAATGTCTCTAAGACTACAATTATTAATAAGATAACAATTAGATAACATTTTAATTGTAGGAGAGCTTTGAGTAATTGTAAAAATATGTAACTTTTATTATATCTTTAATTCACTGGTAATTAATGGCGAAAGTGTCTTAATTTGCATTTATTTTATAATTAGCTGACAAATCATATATTATGCACAGTATATAAGTAAAGATATGATATTGTAAATTATTTTTGTTATAAATGATGACTATAAAATAGATAACCTAGATGGATTTGATAAATTAATACAAAATTCAAGAAAAATTAATGACAATTAATGTAACGTTTAATACTGACCCCATCTCCATATTTTATATTAGGACATAGGGCTAACATCTTTGATATTTGAAAATTACTTATATAAAGTTAAAACTAATATAAAATGATACTTTATTAAATGTCATAAGATACTTTTAAAATTGTAAAGTTGCCTTTATAAGTATCTCTACCCTTTGAGCTAAACTGAAAATGTGTTTGTTTTACATTTTTATATTAAAATTTGAAGTAAGAAATAAGAGGTGTGTGTGATTCTGAAAGTAATTCATGATAAACGGTAAAATTCATGATCAAAGTGACATAATTTAGCACAATAAATGTCAGCCAGTATTTAACTCATTATCAATAGATAAATGAAGTATTCTCTCTAATTTCTATTAGTTATTACCAATATCCTATTGTTTTCAAGCAGATTATGATACATTACAATGTAGATATAATGTTTTACTTAATTTATTATATAATATTTTTCTTATTAATGCATTGCATTACATTTAGTATACGGTACATACATAATATGTTAATAATTCAGTGGCCATGTATTAGGTTATAGTTATGTTAATTTTTGAAATAGTTTAAAAATGTTATTTTTTATATTTGTATTTAATTTTTAACAACCGTAAACATATACTTACGTTTTTTACGAATTTTGTTAATATTATATTCAATACCTATAAACCGCAATTGATATTTGTTGAAAATTGTCTCTTTTAGACATGTACTGGAAATAAATTGCAATTAATCTATAATATGATATCAAATAAAAGCCTGAATTGCTATAAAGCTATGGAAATAATTGCAAAAATTTAAGTCATCCGTTAATTGTTTGATGTTTTAAAGTATCGTTTTATGAAACAAATATTCAGCAATAAATGTGTTGTTTATATATAGTGTATATTGAAATTTGATGAACAAACAGTAATATGATTTTTACATAACAATTATTGGATATAAAATTAACGCAACGATTAATATATTGGCAATAATAAGGATGACGATGATAATAATTGGCAATAAATGCGATTTTATAATTACTTTATTTACAAGTCTCGCCAAATATGCAGTGTTTTAATATGAATACAAACTTTCAAATTTAACATGAACAAAAATGTGCGTTACATGACATTAAATAAAATAATTTTAATCAAAAATACAATAATCAAAATAAACAAAATATGTTTTTAAATTAAAATATAAAATATTAATTTCAAAAATCTATAGCAACTAATGAATCAAATTTGATGTGAGCGCTGTCTGTCATAAACCACTTTCCTTTCGATGGGGAAACTTGTCGTTAAATTCATTAATCATTTAATACAGACTTCCATTAATTTTCATTTAAATAATTCTTGCGATCATTTTAAAAACCCAATCCATTCTTCCTGTCTTTAACATCAATAGATAACTGTTATTGAAATCTAAAACTAAATAAACAGTTGCTATAACTTTAACAAACTTTTTTGTTTCTTATTCTTAAACATCAAAGGAAAAGAGATGACTATTTTTTGGCAACATTTTTAGATTCAAATATAACACTATATATAAATTAGGATACATTTGGGGAATATATTGATGGATATTGTGGTGTAGATGTGAAGTGCAATTTTGTCACTGAGTTTGTGTTGAAATCTATATTGATAAATATAAACATGTATTCTATACTGTGGTATGTTTTTATGACCCATATCTTACAACACGATCATATCTCTCACTCACACACTCTATCAATACAAACGATTATATAAGTGAATGTTTGCCGAAAGATAGTGAGAGTGGCGTAGAGTAGAGGCAATGGAAACAATGTTGAAAGTCCTGTGATTTGTGTGCCTTTGACTCTCAGATTTCACTTTTTTGCAAAATAACTTTTCTCTTCAATCCATAAAACACTACTTCCAAGACATTCAGTTCAATGCCCTTCTCATCACTGAACACATCATAACTGTTTGCATAGAAAAGTCTAAACTAACTAAACTTATATTTATGATGCATTCGTTTTGTTGGTTTACCATCGTTAAAAAAATATGCGACTTCTAAGTAATTAATTTAAATGTATAAATGAATAATTAATTAATATAATAATTAATTAGTAAAACAGTTAGCGACGCAAAAATATAATGTAATTCTAACGTAATATGTAATTATGAAAGTAATTATCGGTGAATCTCTGGTGCCATACATGTTGTCTATCGGATAACACAATGAATGGACAAAGTTTTGTGCTAATAATGACAATTCAATTTTGTTTAATATATGAATACAATGTTTCGCAACACAACACCAACGATGAAGAGGTGGTCGGCGTTAAAGATATCAATAATAACAACAATAGGAGTAACTGTTCGTACTTTTACGAAGAGGTGGTTTGCGATTGCGATGAAACAGCTCTAGAGCTCAAGTGCTATAACATCGAGGCGTCCGACGACTTGATTTTTGCATTCAATCACGTGTTAAATGTGACCAAAAATTATTACTGGACTCTATTGGAAGTGCATTGCATTAATCCGTTTGATTCGGTCACCAAAACATATCATATAAGCGCCGATATCTTCACAAATGGACCAAAGTTTGAGCGAATAGTGTTTGTCGGCGACTGTAGTAAAGCTAAACATTACGATAATCTGTTGGCCACAGACAGAGACACTGAGAGTGTGTTTATGACCAAAAACACGGTCCGAATGGCCACCACTTGTAATCTGTTTCAAACTAAACTCGAAAGGCTTCAGGAATTGACAATTACTGACTCTCTGATGGCCGGAGATATGATTTCGGCCACATTTTCCACCAAATGCTTAGGTTTGGCCACTTTTTTGCTCTCATTTAATCTATGAGTTATGTAATTGAATAACAAATTTGAAAATTACTTATTGAAACTTTTTTTAGTTAAAATAGTTATTTAATTATTAAAAAGTAGGTTTTAATGTATAAATAGTTTTAGTGAACAAAAATAAGAGTAAAATAATATTTGATAATTTATTAAATGGAAAATATTATTTTTATTCAAATATAACGACAAAAGTTAAGAAAAATAGTTTACAAAAACTTTAAGACAGAGAAGAAGAGGGAGGGAGAGAGACATTAACATTAATTGAAGCCAATTTATAGCTGTTAAACAAACATTTATTTTAGCACTTAATTTAAACATATGGTTAGTTTATAGTGAAAGATCACTGAAATGACATGTAAAAACAGAGCCACACAAACAGCACATAATGATTATACTTATGGATAAAACTATATCCCAATTAAGGCCAATACGGGACGAGGAATGAGGCGCTTCCTATGGCACGGTTACGGATAGTGGCGTGTAATCTAACCTTGATAGAAAGCGGAGCGTTTTTCAATCTGGCTGAATTGCAAGCAATTGATTTAAGCGACAATCAATTGACACATCTCTCCCGTCAGGCGTTTGCCTCGCATTTGTATAAATTGCGTTCATTTGTGTTGCGAAACAATCGACTGACGGCACTGTCGACGGACTTCTTCGACAAACTGCCACAACTGCGAGCGCTCGACCTCTCAGGCAATCTGTTGACGGCGTTGCCATTCGTGGCCAGACAACCGCGGGGAGTCCAGTAGGTAAACCGGCGGTTAGGGACCCTGACAGCGACGTTTGACCACACCTAACAGTTGCTGCCTGGGCTATTCTCACTGTTAGTTGCGAAGAAGCTGCTGGGGGAGACTGCCACTCCCGAGACTGTCAAAGACTATCCACTGATGGATGGCTTGAGATTTGTTGACCAAAGATTTTGTTAAATTTTGTGTTTTATTCATTCACTTTTCATTATGTTTTTTAAATTATCAAAACAATTGATTCATCAAAACAATAAATAATTATAATTGGCATTTATAGTAAGCATACGTTTAGATAATTTGATTATAATTTAAATTTTTTGTGTAATTATTATATATTTTGTTTAATTTGTAAATAAATTGATCAAAAAGAAAAAAAGAAGGTTGAATAGAAATATAGTTTTACAGTAAATGACAATTATATGATTATAATAAGGGCTTAATTTAATTATAATACTGTAAGACAAATACACATGTCATTAATACAAGTCCCACATTCGCCTCCTCGACAATAACGCCACCCAATGAACGACATGACTAATAGGAGGACAAGTGTGAGACCGACGGCCACACCAATGATCACGTTTGTGGTTATCATACAAGTGATAGTTCCGTAATCAATACATTCTCTCGAATCTAATCTGTATTTGTCGGCCAATTGTTTGGCATTGTTTTTGCTGGTTTGGCCGCATTGCCGCTCAATCCCCTTCAACACACACGACTCGAAGGAGAGAGCGACACAGCATAAAACCTGTCGGCGTGTGATAGATAATTATGATAGCAGTGATATTGTTATGACATACCTTCACACCTTTTTCCTCTTTGGTGTTGAGTTTGTATTGAAAGTCTTCGATACAATCATAAAAGAAGTCGGGCTTTGTTGCCACACATTTGTCTTCCATTATATCCTTAATATCTAATTTATTTTGGCATTCAGTCATTGAAAACATACTTAATATAAAGACAAAGAGTGGTAAAAATTTCATGAATGCCATTGTGTTAATAATAGATTGTGCGAGGCACAAATTCACTGCTCATATAATTTGCTAAATGTTTAGTTATAGAAAGTAAAGTGAGCTCTGATTAAAACATTAACTTTACTCATTAGTCATTATGATCATGGACGAATCATCAATTAATAATCTATAGAATTTATGTTAGTTAATTTATTGACGAAATATTTCTCATTTTTATTTCAGCATTCTGTATTATTGATATACAGTGCAACCTCTCTTGGGGGAACTTCTCTTGGGGGAACACCTCCTCATAAGGAACGGATTTGAGATCTATGT